TAATTTACAGAGAGGATTGTGGAGTATCACAGGGTCTGGATGGATGCAAGCTGTCTGGATAAATGGAGATGTTTCACTTGACATAAAGAAGTAGAAATTAAATGTAACACACACTGGACTACACCCACCCGTCTCTCTGTGCATCTTTCTACTACCATCATCTCCTCTTCCTGATGCTCTAAGGGGAAAGCCATAAAGATTCTATTCCAGAGCAGGGTGACAGAGGGGCAGCAGAGGGAGGAGAGGAGGCTCTTGCTCTCCCTGCTGACTTTACAGATATGCATCTGCAGTCTTTTATTTTAGGTTGTAAGTGCATCCAGATGTTTAACTGAAAGGCTGGATTTACTGTCACAGGAGCAACTTGAGCAGGGATCCACACTGCTGCTTTCACAAAGTCTCTGCTTCTCCTTCCACATATGTAAAAGCATTTGTGACAGTGGCTGTAGAAGGTGGGCACCCTGCTGTTATTCTTCCACAAGGTCCTCATGGAGGTTTGCTTATCACTGGAAACTTAGGGTGCTTGGTTTAAACATGCATCATACCTTCGATGAATAAGAGTTTATGTAGTGAAAATAGGGTTCAGTTCAATTTGTTTTCAAAACCTACTTGTTGAAAGATCTCTCTGCCTTTTCTTTCATGTTTTATGTTAATAATTTTCTAGCCCTGCCAAAGAAAAATAAGTCCTTTGTGGTCTCACTGGACCATTAAAAGAGAGGTAGCTCTCATGTGCCTCTGCAAAATGTTTGTTGTGCTGCTGTATGTGAAAAACAAAAGGTAAGGATTTTTCAAAATGCTTGCAACAAAATGGAAACTCCCAGGGAAGTTGAGAGAAGGCAGTATTCACCTTCACTGAATTTCTTTGAAAACCCTCCTAAGCAGATCACTCTGCTCCCTGCTTCTTTGTTTCGTGTCCTGTGATGATAGACTTTTAGTGTGGTTTCAATCAAGTTTACTTTACTCCTCTCTTTAAAAAGTGTTTATCGAATAACACATGCTGAAATACCCTTCTCCAGGAAGGTTCATAGACCATGTCAGATGTCTTTAACTCTTTGCCATCCTGCTGTGAGACAAAAACAGGCCTAGGGACAGATCAAGTTTGCCAATGAGTGTCTGTCTCTAATCTGAGAGATAAGCACATTTTGTAGGCACTGATGTTTCTCACACTCATACATGTAATTTCCAATCATAGAAATTGTTTTCCTCTCAGGTTTCTGGTCTAGTAAAACAAAGCAGACAGTGTGGAGGGTTTTAAAAAGGGGAGCAAACAAAGTGGTGTTTTAGAAACTGTTTGATATTTTAAGCTATAAGTGCAAAAGGGCTGTGATAATATTTAAAAAGATAATGCTTGGATGCATAGTTGGAAATGCTGTAATCTTGTCAAGTCCATAATGTTTTAGCAGAAAGACCCTTTGTATCCACGAACAGGAAGACATCGGTTCAGCATGTGATTAACTGGAGCAAGAACTGAGAGGGCAGAGTGAGAAACAGCAGCGGGTGCTCCACGAAAAGGAAATCTAAAGCCTCTGGATGGAGGGAGATTTCTCTACGAGGTAAAGGTCAGCTTTCTCTTCATCCCTGCTCCCACCTTGCTCCATGCTGAATCAGAGTGATGGATTTAAGGAGAAGCACAAATTACATGGGCTAGATGTCATCTGCTACTGCTTTGTCCCAAGTCTCCCTGGAATACAGTTTTCCACTACCATCTGCCATTTGCTGGATTTTAACATCTGTCTTTCCCTAAAATTAACTCTCCCAAAGCCCCCTGACATAAGGATCAATGAAAATTGTGCACTGGAGTTTTTACAAGTACCAAACTTCAGAATCTTTCTCCCTCATGTAAAGCCAAATTTTTTCCTTTCCTTGTTTTCTCCTGGCTTGCTCCTCCTGAAGTAAGAAGAAAGACTTGGTTAAGTCAGATTATTCTACAATCTGCACATTAATCTACAATCATTTTCACATCAACTTGGTACAGTAGTTTTTTCTCTTTGGCTTTGCACAAAGAGTCTTGGCATGACCCTGACTCTTGACACAGAAATTCCCTTTGCCATTTTAAATGGGGCTATTCTCTTTCAAACTTCTAGGTTTTCTCTGTAATCCCCCTAAACTTTGTAGGGGTAGTAGGAAGGATATTTGCATAAGAGTTACCTCTCAAGGTAGATACAAATCCCAGACCTCTCTGGGCCTTAGAGAGTGCTCCAGCCTTGAAGGTTTCACTCAGCAGTACAACAAATAAAATGCTTTCCCTCTTGGACTTGGGACAAATATGCTGCCTTTCAGGACATGGCAATGATTTCATCAAGTAAGCCTTCTGTTTAGAAACATGACATATCTATATGTTTGTGTCTGTGACAAATGCAACTTATGCCCCATATGCATATACTTTTGCATATGGGAAAAGTGAAATTACCCTTCACTTCCACCTTATCAGCAGTTCTTATTTCATCTGAAAGTAGTATCAGGTTTGGAAGCAAAATCTGAAAACAACTTAATGTAAACAATTGAATATGAAACCCCACAGAACTAAAATGGTACAAATGTCTTTGATTGTATATTAGTTTTACAGATTTTCATGGTCTCATGAAGAAGATATGGAACATACAGAGATGATAACTATGTCATCTTTAAGGCAACAGGCCTTCATGGTACTGATAATCATGCTCACCTTCATCTCTTTAGAGAGATTGTTTTGTATTGGAAGGTACTGTGATATGACTTACCTGGTCATCTCCACTGTCTCGTTTCTCTCCTTCGCAGCACAGTCACACCTCCTTCCCAGCAGACTCATCCTTGCCTCTGCAGGCAGCATCAGCTGCTCTGCCCCACACCTATGACCAATAAAAAACACATAGGAAGGTAAGAGTCATACATACAGACATACATGCATGCAGGTGCGTGTGTGTATGTTGTGTATGTGTTGTATTTACCTGGTTTTTGTTAGATCTTCTCCTATTTTCTTATCTGTCAAAGCTGCACTGCTTGTCTTCTAATGCACTAGCCTGGAAACTTTTAGACACATTCTTGTCTTTAATTACAGGAGTAGTTTGCCAAGAACTACTTCTCCCAAGATGGGAATACTCTTGTACATAGGAAGGGAATTAAAGTGTAGATTTTTTTATGAACTATTTTCCAACTATTTTGGTGAAATAACTGAGCAGGAAGGGTTAGAAAGCTGGCAGAAGTCCCAACCCTCTTAAAAGCAGGACAACAACTATAAGCATTTAAAAGGTCCTGTTTGAGAGTAAATCCTCCATCACACTGGTAATGCAACAGCCATTCTGTAAAGACTGGCATAAATATGCTGCCATAGTTAAACGCTTCACGGCATCACGTGGTAGCCCTGGATGACCAGGGCTGGATATGTAATCTTGCTGAGTGTGAGAGTCTGCTTTCCTTTTGAGTAAACTGATCCTGTAATATTCCCAAAGCAACCTTGGGATCTGATGGCTAGAACTAGAAATTATTTCCTCACCCTCAGGGAATTCTTTAGTGCTATAAATGACTGACTGACTTTTTCAATCAGGACAATAAAAAGGCAGTCTTGAGCTGAGTTTCGAAAAGGTATTTCTGATTTGAGCATTGTGTTTCATGAGCCTACTATTGTCATCTCATTTTGACTTTTCTGAGTGCATGGAAAAATATGGCATAACCTGTGTTTCTAAGTAAAAGGCATTTCAGTGGAAAATAGAGGGGTTTTATTTACAATTCACTGCAACACAGTGGTCTTGGCAATGATGGAGATGGGGAAATCATAAAAATCAAGTTTGAGGGTTGTATGGTTTGGAGGAGGGGTGTTGTTTTTTATTTTGCTTTTGTTTGCTTGTTTTCTTTTCAGTTAGAAATATTAATCTTGATCCAAAAAAATCTAAGGAGCCTATGCTTAATTTTTCAGCAGTGATTTAAGCATTTCTGAGCTTGAAGATTGGACTCTGATTCACCTAAACACAGGTGACTTACACTCTGTAGAGTAATGAATGTGCTTCTCTCTCCCAGGTATTGATGGGGAAAGCTCTCAGTTCTTTCAGGTGGTGCCTTTAGAGCATTTAACATGCTTGGCATTTTGTAGAACTGCATATGATATGTAAAGGATCCAAGGGTGTTGCATAGTTTGCAGGGCTGTTAATGAGCACTTTGTCCCTTTGGCCTTCCGTACAATATGCTATTTATGAAAGGAGCCTTGACTAATTTAAAGTATGCTCTGCACATTGGTGCTTTTAAATTGCAGTCGCTGAGTGGGGGAAAAGAGGAGAAGATAACCTCAACTGTGAGCAATCATAATTTTTAAAGGTGTTTTAATAAAAAGGCATAGACAAAAGCATTTTTGTTGCAAATGAATACTAAGAGAGGGGCAGTTCCCACCACTGAGTAGAGTATTTCTGCCAGAGCTTTTCCAGTGTCAAGCATGTTTGTATATTTTTCTCTTAGTGGAAATAACAGCTTCATCCAAAGGTATGGGAGAGACTGGTCTCTACTGGCAAACAACTTGCAGATATGGAAAACTCCTTGCCTGGCCCCATAAATACCAAGCTTGTGTAACCAGTGCCGGAGTGTCCATCAGTTTTCGTGTTTACGGTGCTGCTCCCGGACACGTTGCACTTTTATCCTCTCCCCTGGGTCCCTGACGTCACCAGTCATGCTCCCTCCCCTTGCCATTTTCTTTGTGCCTCTAGACACGGCAGCTACAGCTCACCTTTTGGCTTTCCGTGCCAAAGCTTTTGAATCCTCCCCTACTTGTCTGAGAGCACCAGCATCTCTTGGTCGTCTGGCAGGAACGGTGCCTCAGCCTTGAGGCGCAGTCAGTCTGCCCTGCATTCTAATACCTCTCCTTCAGCCTCTGCAACTCGTGGAAGAGGAAGGAGACAGAATTAGAATCCAGGGGTGGGTCAGGGAGTGGTGATGCTGTTCCCCAGCCTCCCAGAGGACGCCTCAGCGCGGCGTTGCCATAGCGACAGCTCCCTAGATAAGACGGGCAAGACCATCAGCTGCAGACCCAGCCCAGAGAGCTCCTCCAGCCAGCCTCAGCGCTAAACTGCACCTTCCCCACCACCTCCAGTGCTTCGTAAGTACCTCAACCACACTCTTGCACGCTTCTCTCTCCTGGCTGGTTGGCTTGATTGGCTTCTTTATTTTACTCTCTCTCTCTCTTTTTTTTTTTTTTTTTTTTTTTTTTTTTTAGTCACCACCAGCATGGCAAATTGCCTTGTCACCTCCGGGGCTATGGGGACTAGCAAGAAAGCACAGGGTCCCACTGCACAGGCAGTGGGCTGGGCATGGTCCCATTTGGAGAAAGCTGGGATGTGACTGCACTGAGGCTGGAATGCAGCCTGGATGGGGTCATGGCAGGGAGAGTACTTTAGAGAAAACTGCTTCAGCTAACTTTAACTGTTGGGACAGTTCACAGGCAGATAACACAAGCCAGCAGAGGGGGAATTGGTATCAGGACTTCTTATCCCACTACTAAGGTTGGCATGTGCAAGGGGTTAATTTGTACTTTAGGAACTAATTAGGAAGACTTTGTATTTTTTATTATTTCCAAAGGCAAAAACTTTGTGACCAGAACCTGTGCAAATGTATATCACATTTTTTCAGTCAATCAGAATTTTAGCTGTTGTTATTTTTATTTATTTTACACCTTCATGGGCGGTAGTGGAAATCAGTCCACAGCTCAGCCAGGGTGCCCAGAAGCACACTCTCTGTGAGAAGAAACTGGTCCCAGACAATTCTGTGGTATTTCTATATCCATGTTATTATTAGCAGCAAATTTTTGGGGTGGAAGGAGGCACTCAGATCCAGCTTTCCAATATCCAAGTGTTTGCTAAGAAGATTTAAATATGCTTCAGAGAAGTGTAAGTCAGACTAATCTGACAAGAATACCTGGAGAGAGCAGCCTAGTGCCTAAATAACTGAAGAAGAAACTCTGTGTATTAGCATGAAGGTTTCTTCTGTACCCAGGAAGGTATCACTCCAACACAGTCACATTAAACATATGGTAAAACTTGTAATGAAAAGTTTGCAGTGCAACACAGGAACACCCAGATGTTCTACTTTTAGGACATCTGTTTTCTACTCTGTAGAAACAATCAGCAGTGAAAAATGGTCTTATTTTCTTCTCTCTGTGACGGCATTTGTGGCAGCCCCAGAATTAGTGAGCCCAGGACCAACTCTCAGCTTGGGGGAGGTGCTGGGGAAGCTCAGGTAGAAGGATGGGCTTCAACACCAACTGCAGTTATGCACAAAGAGGGGTAAACCAGCCAAAACAGCAATCCACTGAGACTTACAGAGCATGGGCAAATAAACAGCCTGGTGAAATGAGTTCCCAGTGATGAGGAAGTCTACTTCATCCTGGCTTTGGGGTCTGTGGGCACCAGTCATCTTTCTGAGGCAGCCCTTACACTTGGATCTTCAGGGGTATTTAAGATGTCTTACAGGAGCTGGCCTTATAAGACTAATTCAACAGAATTCATAATTAAAGTTGGATCATATAATAAACACCAAACATAATCCTTAATTTATACTTGAGAAAAAATACAGAAGAAAACAGGAAAAAACCAGAAAAAACTCCAGTACTTACTATGAGATAGTACTTAATGATCAAAGGCAGTATTCTTCTGTAGAGCCAATCGGTGCTATCATGGGTTGCTTACAGCAAGGATGCATCTCAGCACGTGCGAGTGAAATCAGGCCAGCAGACTGCATGACAGAGGGCAGCTGGAAGACAAGAGTTCCTCACAATCTGGCTAGCAAGCGGATACATTACACCAATATGGTTGTGCTTTTTTTTGGTTTGGTTTGGTTTGGTTTTGGTTTTGGTTTCATTCATTTTTTTGTTTTGTGGTTTGTTTGTTTTTTTTTGGTGTGTGTGTGTGTGTGTGTGTGTGTGTGTGTGTGTGTGTGTAGTATCTTCAAAGGAGGAGAAAAGCCTGTTTCAATGATGTCAACAGAATGTGTTCAGCCACTTGATATGCCAGACGACAGACTGGATAAGCGAGATTCACAGTGTAACCATTTAGGTAAGTGTTATTAGATGATGTCATTGCACTAATGAGAGGTGTTGCCTTCACATCATAAAGTCCTCTCCGGTGTCCATTTTTCCCCTCCAGCGATACAACTGAACCCTGAAGAAAATGGATAATTATACCTTCTGCTGACACTTCTGATGCCAGATGGAATGGCAAAGAGCATTTTTCCTGCATATAAATATCCGCTGAAACTCTAGAGTGAAATTAATTACAGAGAAAGCAAAAAGAGTCATTGATTTTTTTTTCCCTAGGAGAAAACATAGAGCAGTTTCTCCATTTATACTATAGTAAACTGAAAGCTAGGATATAGCTAAACTTTACCTGAACACATTTTCCATATGAAATTTGAGTAAAAGATTTCAAGCATCCCATTTCATTCACTGGGGCAGCTTTCTGAAAGTGTTTCAGAAGCAGTCTGTTCCTTCCTTGAACCTACTTTTACACTGAGCATATCAGTCATCTTTGCTCTGCCACTCTCCTGAATACCAGACTTCATACTTGATAGATGTGTTTTTTGCATATTCATGGTCTTTGCTTCTACTTCAAATGCTATTACTTCACTCCCATCTTGCAAAATTGTCCTGAAGATTTAGCAACGCAGAAACAAACATCTCTTTGTTCACTGTTACCCTTGTGATGACAATAATGAAACACAGAGGCCATTTCACTTGTGTGTCAAAAACCGTCTCACCACAGGCAAGCCGAATTTTATCAATTTTGTTTATTTGTCCTCCAAGGAAGGTATCCTAATTCTGACTATGTCACATGGCATTTCTAGCCACAGGCACCATTTTTACAATCTGCAGGCTCACAGACATAACACGTCTTAAATAGTGTAAGAGAGCCTGGAATGAAGTTGCACTTGCATCCAAGTCTGCAGGTAGGGGTTGGATAAGGGTGTGGGGAACCCCGACAAAGGCAAACAAGCAGCTTTTAAGAATTTAGAGCATTGGTTTGAGTGATGATAATAATGAGAGGTGTCGCAAATGAGTAGTTAGAATGTTTAAAAAATCACTGTCAAAGGTATTGACAAAATACAGGCTTCAATATGAATTTATAAGAGTGCAACTTTATCAGAGTTAAATGGCAAAGCTCATTCTATTACTTACTACATAGATGAAGCATACATAAGTAAATTGGATTAAAAGCAGTTTGGAATAACTTACACAGAGACTGGGGATGCAAGGAGAGTTAGAGTGCAAAGGATATGGATACCAGAAGAGGGTGCAAAAGCACCTAATCATCAACTACTTTAACATTTTAAGAAGTGATTCAATAGGATTTGCTACAATTATAACAACTAGTTAATTATAAACTCAAAATAACAACGTTCATACCATAATCAATTCGCTTGCTTGCACCCAGGGAAATAAATATATACTTCTATATCTATGTGTGTAAAGGTACTAATCAAAAATTCCCCTCAAGGTCAGTGAAATACTTTTATTAAATCCCTTAGCATTTCTCAACAGGCACGGGCTGGCCCTCAGGGAGTGCATGTGTGTAATCCACCTAGACCTCATCATCAGCAACATGTTTCAAGTATTGCAAACTTGAGGGTTTGCAAGCTCCAAGAGACATCCCACTCAAAGGGAGTTGCTGGTGCAGCCCACTGCTTTCCAGGAGCGCTCCAACTCCGGGAGGCCTCACTTAGCACTGCTGTTTATAGGGTCACAAGATGATTTTTTCCCAAAAAGTCCAGTAGCAATAGTACCGTTGCATTCAGGCTACGATTCATTTTTTTCACAAGGTCTCCTAACAATGGTACCATTTCACTTGGGTTACAATTCAGGTAAATTATCTAGCAAGGGTAACACAAATAACTGCTTATCCTTTGTTCCTCACCTTGGTCGGGCAGCTGATGGCCCTGGTATGGTCAGTATTGTTCCTACCTTTACCATGCAAAAGCACCCAGTATAGTCACGGAGGCTTCCCCACCCAACTGGTACAGTCAAGGGGCACTTCACCACTCAGCTGGTTCAACCGAGGCTTATCAGGAGCTGCTGAGGTCACAAAGCAGGCCTGAGGAGGAGGTGAGGGAGGAGGATGCACCACCACAACAGATTACCTTCAATATTTTCAGCTTGCATAAGCACTCAAAAATGCAGACTCTTGTAGAAAAAGACATGCTGACTCTCTGAGTCACCTGAGTCAAGGCTTGTTTTAGGGGAAAACCAGAAGTCCAGTACAATGTTATGTAAATCAAAAGCAAATAGCAGTTGCTCAGTAGCTCTTGAAATAAAGGCAACTCTTGAAGGAAACAATATACTGACTGGCTCATTTTACCAGTACCTCAGGCTGACCCCACATATGTAAAACTTTCCTTCATAAAAGTGCCCTTCTAACTCTCAAAGACACAGTCCACATGGTGAGCACTGGATGAAACAGGGGTAGCCATGGAACCTCTGCTCACAGTGATGCAGCCTTCCCTCTACTGTGTAAACACACAGCTGCACACAACTCTCTCCCTGTGTTTTCTATCTACTGCCTACAACACAGAAGGACCACCTAAGTCATTTGACTCCCATGTAGTATGGCACAGAGGCCTCTTTTGATGAGTTTCTAAGTATTTAAAAGATGTTTTTCATGGGCATTTTAATTTATTTGGATTAAAGCACTATTATTAAAGCATTTCTTTATTATTTCCCCAAAGTTTCAATTTCTATTATTCTTTTCCCTGCAGAAGATCTTTCAGAGCAGCTGATTAAGAGCTGCGACCTCAAAAAAAACCCAAGAAAAGGTAAAACCATCCCAGCTTCCCAAAACACCGAACAGGAGCAAAAAAAGCCAAGGAGAAAAGATACACCAGCTTTGCACACTCCACCACCTCTAACAGGTAAGCAATAAATCTCTTGACTTTGAAATCCCAATTTAGCTGTGGGAACTGAATCTGAGCAAAGTCCATAGAGCCCTCATTCAGTTCTGTCCCCTTGGATGCTTACAGAAACACAGCTCCATGCATGTGCATCTTGGAAGGCAGATGAACAGAGTCTGACTTCCTCAAAGCCATCCTCCGTTAGTTGAAGGGTTTGCTCACAGATCTGGGAACACCAAGGTGAGTGGGTGTATGCTCTGGAAAACGTGCTCCCTTGGAGCTCATAGTCTTGCTGCTAAATGATGCCACGTTTATGTGTTAAATGATACGCTGAGCCATGCTCGATGTCCCAATTTGATATGGTCCAAAATCAAAACGGATCCAGTTCAGCCCCTGCACTTTCTCTTGAAACTCATACCCAGTGCTCAGAGGAAGGCTGAATGAGGATGACGCTGGCAGTAGACCAGAGAGGCACACAACCCACCTGCACCATTTCCTGCATCATCCAGGATTTCCTCCTAGAAATCACAGGGCTCATATGCTTATGGGGACTCTGCGTGTTCCAGGGAGCCAGAAATCACCGCAGCAACAAAGGCGCTCCTTGTAGGACGCTTCCTGCTGTGGCACATCTACAGATGTTTGAGAGCCAACCTGGGGAAGGGAAGAATAAGCAGGAGACTGCCAGTGAAACCTGATGATCTTCCAAAAAGAGCAGTAGGAATAAATGTTTGTCACTCTCTGGGTGGGAGTGGAAGGTTCAGACAAAAATGTATTTAAGAAAAGGCCCTGCCATCACGAGGTGTAGAGTCATTCAGTTGCCCTAAGTCACAAGGTGCAGAAAGGACTGCCTCGCTTTCTAAACTCCTTCTCAGAGAGGAGTCTAAATGTGGATGAATCCAATCAGCTACATATTATGTCAACAATTTAAACATAAGGAATTACAAAGGTGTGATTGAACCACTTTTGTCCCGCAGGTTTAATGACTGGCAAAATGAGAATATTTATTAAAATGAATAATTTATTATTACAAATCATCAGGCAAAAGATCTTAATCAGAATTATGTACTACACAATATAAACACTAAAACTACTAGTAGTATAGTATAAGATAGGATAGTGCATTATATCAAAGCAAGTATTGAAGCAATTTTATTAAAGTTAACAAAAAGAAACAATTATTAAGTAGCGATTTGAGGTAACTCACCAATACCAATGCTCGCAGAGAGATCTCTTTCTCTCAGCCTCTCCTCCCAAGCGAGGAATCTCTACACATACACCACAAGAAGAGTTAAGAAAAACCTGACTGTATGAAAGGGAGCTAGACTTTTATAGTATAAGGTGACTGACTGCTAGTTAAAAATTTACAGGCCAGATACTTTCTTATCTGTCATGTCCTACTTCAAAAGGCAGGACGTATGTTTGAAGTTTGGTGAACCAGGCTGGTGTTGCATTTTGGATTAAACTGCCCAGAGCAGTTACATTTTTTGACTTTTTAAAAGCCTCTTGGTTCATTATAACCTCTAATTAGCATCCAGAGAAAGAGTTACACACTCTTCTCCAAGAGAAATTCTCCTTAATTTAGTGAGAAAAATAAGATATTTTGGCAAAAGGTTTTTACAAGAGTAAAATACAACCAAGAATAAAGCATTTCACTAAATCATTCAGCACAAAGACCCATTCCACTGGAAAAATCCACTAAAAAAAATCATATACCAGCTTTAGTAAAACACAGTTCATTGGTTTTAAGTTATCCACAAGAGAAGGAAAGGAGTAAAAGAAAACAGATTAAAAAGGTTACAGACAGAGAGAAGAGATTGGGAAGAAAAAAAAATGGTTACCGACAAGATCCAGTGATTGTCATGGTGCTGGCTGCAGAGGGTGAAGAGAGGAGAGACCCCGTGGAGTCTCGTGCATTTACAGAGTTCGGTTTTCCCTCCCAGGCAGGATATCCAGCCCCTGCCTTCCCGGCCAGAGCGAGGTGTGCTGTGCTCATCACAGGCTGCAGGCTGTGGGTGGGCTACCAGGCAGGTCTGCCTTGACTGCCAGCACGGCTGCAGGGCCTTCAGCTCTGCCCTGTGCTCTGTGTGGGCTGCAGGTCTGGTCTTACAGCTTTGCCAGATGTCCTCAGCACTGATGTGGAGGCATTGCCATGTTCCTGGCAGGTCCAGGTCCAGTCCTTTCCCACGTGCACACTCACACAGTGAGTTGGTTCCAAGCCATATCAGTAATTCAGTGAGATTCGAATCCAGGATCTCGCAGCTGGTTTTAGCATAATTCAACACCAAAAACATTACCATGGGGCCCACCAGTAACTCATCACAGATAGCTTGTATGAGAGCTTGCATTGTATGCATTCTCTGATTGAATTCTAGGCCTTACTGGAGTAGGCTCTCCTGCCACAAAAAGTTAGCCAGTAACTACTTGTATGGTTCCCTGTATATATGCAACAATCCATCAAGCCAAAAACAAGCAGCTGGGATTTTCCTATATTTGTAATCCAGATACTGAATTTGACTCTGTTCAGTTTTCACATGTATCTTCCATCAGCAATTCTCTTCTAGGGAAGAGTGGCTTGGAGGCTGAAGAGCTGCCTTTTGTGCCTGCAAGTACCATACCACACAGAAAACATTTTTCACTGGAAAAAAAAAGCCATTTCTGTGCAATCCTATTGCTCCCAGCTAGAGGCTTGAGCATCTGTGTAATTAAGCTACTTTGACAAGATGTCTAAGGTTCTGGAATAGAAATTCTTTACCATGATTTCTGATGGGCTGCAGTTTAGTGCATTAAATACAACCAGAAGCAAGCTGACCTGATAGCTTCATTGTCTGTAGCCTATAATTAACCTGGAGGAAATGTAGGGTAGGTATGCCATGCAGCAGATCATGCACTCATGCAGCTTTACTTCAGAGTAGTCATTGGAAGAATTACACAGGTGCAAGTTTCTTCAATGTGAACTAGGCTAAAGCGGCTTTTCCCCCCCCTCCCTCCTCCTTGCAGGCGTACCTTCAGACTTCTCTGATAATCTGCTGAAAAGATATGGTATCACAGAGAAGCCACAGAGAGAGAGAGTGAGTCCAGTCTCTCAGGTCACTGAACTGGAGAAGAAAAAGCCCAGGAGAAAAGATACACCTGCAGTACACATCCCACCTTTGATAATAGGTAAGAAATGTCGGAGAAGAATCCTCCAAAGAGGAAGCAAAAAGTGGCTAGTGTCAGAGGAATGCCTGGGAGGAGGTTGCTCTCTGCCCAGTCTACTTAGCTGCTCTTAATGAACTTACTTGGTCTAATAACAGTGGTGGCTCATGGAAAGTCTTTTACATATCCCCTGCTCATGCTCTGGGGACAGAAAGGAAGGGAAGTAAGAGAAGACATTTGGTCACTCGATTATCTTTCACAGATTGTAATCTTACTTTTCTGACAGGCCAACTAATGTCCTGCTTTTCAAACCTAAGCAGCTGTAAATTTTAAGGCCAGCAGCACTACAATGCCTCAAACAACCTGAAGCAAAGCTGTACTGATTAAACTCCACTCCACAGTTCCTGACATGCACTGACAAAATCAAGCTGTAATGAACTTCTCGTTAACAGCACCTTAAAGACAGTTCTGTGCTTCTGGCATAACATGCAATACATACACACTCACCTAAGATGCTACTAGGGAAGGGAAGGGAAAGGAAGGGAAGGTGGAAAAAAAGTGGTGACCTTCAAATGTGTGACAAAATTCAAACTCTGTGCATTTTTTACGGGGAAAATGAGAGAAACTAAAGCAATTTTCAGTTGTTTTCAATTCTACCTCCAATGACACTTTCTTGCCTACACGTGAAGCCACCTTCCAGCACTCAACACAGATTCAAAGCAGCCTGCTAGATGCTGCCTCTCTATGCAAAGCATATTGGTATTTGAGTCAAGTGACTCAATTGTGGTTGAAGGCTGGTCCACTTATTTACTTTCCTAGTTATTCCATCAGGTAGCAGACAGAGCACAAACAAACCGCAGCCTTTGGAACTGATAAGCAAAATGAAACCTGAATCATAGACTTGGAGACCTGAGAAGCTCCAGCAGGGCTATATGTGCTAAATAAATATAGACAGGCCTTTCTGTCCTGTCTCCCTGTTACTGGAATTGCTTCATTAAGCAGCACTCTCAGTGCCACATGGCCTCTCTTGTGACCTGCTAATGACGATTGTCCCCATTTCTTCCCCTTGAGATCATCTCCAAACTACTTCTAGATGGCAATTCAAGGAGCTCCACTGAATTGTAGTAAAAGAGCTTAATTACTAGAGTATCTTTCTGAACAGCTGTCCACACAAATACTTAGTTGTAAATGCAGTCAAAATGGCAGATGTGTTATCCCTCTCCATTTTTACCAGCTGGTTATAACCTTTCTAGGACAGTCACTCTCCTTCATGGGTGGCCAGGGAGATTTTCTATCACAAGTCAAATGGACCATACAGGGTTTCTATTGGATAGTATGTGGTCCAAATGAGAAGCAGAATCAGTCTTACACCTTACAGACACCCAATCCAATTGGCAAATGCAGGTACAAAAAGGGGGCTGCTAAATTAGTTATCTGAATTCTCCTCTACAAGGGTTAAGCTTCTAAATGTATTCAGCCTTCAAACTTCTACTGAAGTGGCACATATAACATTATGCCACGTGCATACAAATAAATTATGAGCAGAAGTCTCCTTCAGTGGCCAGCTCGCCTTCAGCCAGCCAACACCTTTTCCAAAGGGATTAGACTAGAACACAAAATAGAATCACAATTCCAGTGGTCTTTTTTTCTGTCTCACTTGACAGAAAATGGCTTGAATCTGATCCAAGCCTGTAGTCAGCTCTGGAACACTCATCTGCACTTAGCAATATATTCCATTAACTGAAGTATTTCTGAGAGCTCTTCAGGCCTGTGGGTTTGAGATAGAATATAAATACATGCCTAAATATGGGAAGATCATTCCTGAAATGTGGCTGCTTAGGGTTTCCTAATCAGATCAGAGGTAAATAGCAAATCCACAGTTTCAAACCCTCATTCATTCTTATACCGTAGAAAAACAGTTAAGGCAGCTCCTTTAGGATAACATCCCAACCCCAATGAAAACCTCTGGGTAACATGAGAAGTATAGAAGTTTAATGTCACCTCTTGCCTCTCCAGCAGGAGTTGTCTGTAGGTAGTCTGTAGACAGGTTCTATTTTGTTGGTTTTCTGATTTATAGTCCAGGAGGAGTGGCTTAGATCTAGGTGGCACCTTCTTGATTTAACCCAACTTCTGTCTATGTTTGAGCTTCCTAACAGAAACTCTTATATCTCTGTAAGCCTTCATGGTTCTAGTGTCTAGCTAAAAATTGCAAGTAGTTGCAAGTTCTGTTGGGAAATTATGACTACATTGTATTTACCTTCTGCTTTCTTTAGTCAGATCACTTGGCAGATATTAATAGAACAACCTACAATCCTTTAAATAAATCTGCAGGATGAGTTGCATTCCATAATACACACAGCTGGGAAAACAGAGGCAGAAAAGCTAAGTGATTCATTTATTCAGCAAACAGAGAAAGACTAACTTACAAATGTTTCCCAAATCAAATGTCCTTCTCACATCCTTTTGGCTCACACCCAGAACTTCCAAGCTTCCAAATGTGCATTCAGTAAAGCACAGTTTCTCCACAGCTGATCAGTGGCACTGTATCCAAGAAAAAAATCCTTTCCCAGTGTTATACAAATAACTACAGCTTTGACCTGCCATTTGTATACCCTTTCCACTGTTTTGCATTAAAAGGCTGATTTGTGAGTGTTCCATGGAAAGTTGTTAACCTGCTTCTCTGGGCTACACCCACCTCTGAGCTCTGAATCATGAACTCTACTGGAAACCTTTGGAGGTCATCAGTCACCAATGTGTTTAATTGATAATGATCTTGCTATTCATTGTGGTAAGTGTCTGTGCTACTAGAGCTGGGACCTATGCCTGGGTTTTACCTTTCAGCTGTCCCCAGCATCTGCTAAAAGGACTAGTTTATGTGCTATAACTAGGCCATCAGAATTACATAAACGCATTTTTCCTTCATCACTTCTTCATTTAAATAAGTGAATGGACATGATCCATTTATTTAGTGTACATATCTGATCTCTTATTCCTGATTTTACCCACAAAGCAGGTTATCTCTCCTCAAACGATCCATTCTAGCTTTACATTCTAAGCATGCTTTAATTATGTTTTCCTTGTTCCTCAAATCCTCCATGATGTAAAAAACCAACAACATAAGCCCTTCACTCCTTCTTAAAAAGACAAAACCCAAACCCCAAAGACAACGTTAAAAAAAATTGTCTATATTTGCCTAAGTTGTCTATAGGAATAGAAGTCTGTGTGGGGGACACTTACATCCATAAAATGTCATCATTCATTGCAGTTAACAATGGTGGTAACTCAATTGCTGCTTGAACAAATAAAGTCCCTTGTGTTTCAAATTAACATTCATTTATGCCTTTCAGTTTATTTCATAATGCTAGTTCACAAGAACTGCATATAAATGAAGCTGGAGTTAACTCAAATGAAGGGTAGTATAGGTTGATATTTTAATTAATTCATCGCCCCTGAAAAGACTTTAAAGTTAAAGAAAATCTTCCTCTGTTGTATTGCCCTATTTTCAAACCTTGGCAAGACTGAAAACCTTCTATGCAGAAGAGTTTTTGATGCAGAAAGAAGCAAACAGGTTGGTCTGACAGAACAGCTCAGCTGGTATCAAACATTAGGAGACCAAATTTGGGAGAGATTTCACTGGTCTCAACACAATGATACCTCCCAATCCTGTTTGCAGACTACGTCAACATCCACACCAAGGAATGTGGGCATAAAATTCATCACACAAGTCACTTGTTTTCTACTGGAAACAGGCAAATCCAGCACTATATGTTAAAATTGAGTTCAAGAACATTTTGTACCCAATGCATTGTTCTCACTTCTTTTGTATTTGTTTTCTAATGAAGAGGGCATTTACAGTATTAGTGATATCTTGGTATCACACAAAAGCCTCAAGACCCCTAAAGGGTGGACTTACCAGTTCAAGTATAAGAGAGAAAAAAAGAAACAGAGAGAAGGGAGGGGAGACACAGATTTGTGGAAGGTATGATCTAAAACCCAAGTCTATTTTCACATTGTTCAGCAGCTTTTGCAATTTATTGATACTATGTAACTTCAGTGAGATGGCACTTGTCATGTTGGTGTTCTAACCTTTGTCTCTTTTGTCATCTGCACTTAAAAATTTTAAGTAATATGGCTATATACTTGGAGGAAACATATACATGTTCACATAAGGTAGCTCAGTCACAAAGATTAATCACAGCATTTACTTAATCATGCAAGCTCTTTCCCTTATTTAGCTCCCCAAACTCTTTTAACAAACAGGTTCCCAAATAAAACATCATTATCTCTTTTCACAGATAGGAAAAATATGCTAGATTTAAGAGTGCCTAATAATTTTAGCTAAAAATGCAGTGATTCAATTCTAGTTCACTAAATACCAGGAGACTGATGTGCTAAAAATAAATGAGGAGTAACTCCCACGATGCTGGAAAACTATATTCAGATCAAGAAGTAAGAGAGGAATGAAAAATTCTTTTTAGCCTAGTATTTTCCAAAAAGTAGTATGTTAAATCAACTTCTTTTTTTCTCCTTTTTGTTGTTGTTGTTGTTTTTTGTGTCCTTGTGTTTTTAAGGCACTAAGCTGTTTACAGAAGAAGAACAAACAGTGATTATGGAAGACGAAGAAAAGGAGGGAGACACAATCCACAGTTAAATTACGATGATATTTCCAGTAATGCAGTGTAAATAATTCTGGGTCATTCGAAGTGGCAGCACACAGAAATAGAAGTTCTTTCATTTTTATAAATAATAATTTTCACAAGCATACACTTGATTTCAAATTATCAGCAAATGCTTATCTGCATCTTACGAATTCCCAGCAAGCATCATAGGAGATGATGACAGAACTTTTACTGACACCTGGAGTTTGAAGGATTCTGTTGGTTTACTATAAGTGACTTCCCAGCATTTCTGTAAATGAGGAATCCATCTCAGAACAGATCTAGCTTTGTGCATTGTGGTGATAAGGGTTAATACAAAGAACATCACTCGTAGAGTGTACCTGGCATGAGATAGCAGAGCAGTAAAACATCAACTAATGATTCAAATTGCATTTTTCTCCTGACACTTTACCTAATTTGTCCAGCTTTCCTCTTCTGGAATAAAATTGACCACAGTGAAAATTCCCATGTGCAAAGCTGATGGGATAGATGGAGAAGGTGCAAGGGCAGGAGCCAGACCCTGAAATGGAAAGCAAAAATTTCTTCTGCCTGTATCTGCTCATGACTTGTGCTTGTGAGGAGGAAAAGAGAGATTCCCTGCAGAATGAAAATTTACATCTAAGGGCTGTCAGCATTAACACATCAGGATAGAGGGAAGAGCTCTCAGAAGAGAAACATCAGAGAAGTGCAATGCCTGCCTGTTATATCAGTGTAGGCAATTGTCTCCACTGGTCAATGAAAGATAAAATAGTTGGATAGTGGATCCTTTTCCTCCAAATAATTTCTTTTGACACCTACTTTTTAACTTGAGTTCTAGGTCAGTTAGGAGAGGTGGAAAAGATTGAAAACCTTTTGGAAAGTGGAAAGTGAAAATTGAGTAAAAGGAATAGTGTTACTCAAGGGCATATGTGTACTACGAGGTGGAACAGCACCATTTGATTTTTTTTATTAGTTTACCTCATTGATTCAATCAAGAATTGTTTTCACAGACAGCTACAGTCTGGTAGAATGGCCAGTTTGTGCTTACCTTAATAGCTCTGGGCTAGATAGAGTAGCACTGCCAGCTGGGCCATTAGGGACCTGAGCAGAGAGGTTGAAGATCATAGAATCATAGAATTAACAAGGTTGGAAAAGACCTCTGGGATCATCAAGTCCAACCCTTGATCCAATACTGCCTTGATCCAACTACTAGACCATGGCACTCAGTGCCACACCCAGTCTCATCTTAAAAGCCTGCAGGGATGGTGAATCTACCACCTCCCTAAGCAGCCCATTCCAATGTCTCATTACTCTCTCCGTAAAAAATTTCTTCCTGATATCCAACTTAAACCTCCCCTGGCACAGCTTAAGACCGTAAATCATCTAGCCTGGCAGACTGAATTTAGTTATCTTTTTAACTCCCTTAGGAAGACAGCTGAGGACCATAATAGTTTGCACTTCATTTGCCACAGTGACTGACCCAGCATCTTTCATGAGAATGCAGTCCATTCACAAATATTTAGCTTCAAGATATAATCAACAAGCTTATAATAAATAATTGCATAATAAAGTGTACAAGATGCCTGCTATATTATTAATGGGATGCCTAATAACTAGGAGGTGTACTTGGTTTTATCCTGTTAACCTATCAGTGAGATAGTATTTAAAATATAAACAATCAATAGTTCATATAACAACAGTAACATAAGGTACACAGTAAAGTATGTCACAGCAGGTATGTGAAAAAAAATACAAGTTACTCAAGTCTAGCTTTACCAGTGAAGCTGGTGAATATTTTCAGTGCACAATACAGCAAGAGCAAGAGTGTGGAATCCTGAAAAGATTCAAATGAACATCAATAATGGATCAGCCATGAAATTATACATGTTTAGACATGAAGGCCCTTAGCAACACAAAGTAGGAGCACAAATAGGATGTGATTGAGTTCACTGCTCTGAAAAGGATTTGTTTCCAAGCCTGGGGAATTCTGACACAGCTAAATAGGGGAAAAAAAAAACAACCAAAACCAAAAAAAAAGCATCCTTTAAGCCTAGCACTATATAGTGTTCAGCAAAGAGGAGTTACAGTCTAAGTGACATCTCTGATGGCACACCAGCCTAATTTACCATCTCTGTATAGATCAACTCAAAGTCCAGACACATGTCATATTCTGCAATTCTTTTAAAACTGCGTATTTACAACCTGGCAATTCAGCATTTTCTGTTCTTCCACCCAGGTGCAACATAAGCAATTAAAAGTAATTTTTCACTCGATCAATTAAGTTAATAGAAGGTTTTCCCATGTTCCTGGGAAGCTGTGTGATGAATAATTTCTCAGCTTCCACATGCTTTATTTCACTCAGGTAAAGTGTTAAAGTTTGGGAACAAAATAATTTTTTTTTCAAATGAGGCAGACAATTCCCCTTCCCCCAAAACAAAGCCTTTAGGTTTTGCAGAATTGTGTGTGGACTCTACAGTGGTGTGAATGTGGTTTATTGGGTTTATTTATTGTCATTCTGGCTCCCTTTAAGACCAGGTAGTGCTAAAACCAACAAACTGCTCTCCCCAGACAAATGACAGGAGCTGGTTAGTTCTGGGGCAGAAATGCATTTGTATTCAGTGTCCCCAAAGGCCCCCATGGCCATTACAGCAAAAATGAAAGTAAACTGAAAGCACAGACACACACTAAGCATTTCCACAGGACTGCTGAGACTGGGATGCTCCAGACTGAAGGCACGTTGTCTGCTATGTGCATTGACAACTTTGTATGTGGAGAGGTGGCTTGCATTCCGATATTTATCTGGAATGGTATCTCACCCCAGAAGTCTGCACTGGGTGGGACAACCACTCCAAGCCCTCAGTGGGGAATGAAGTGCTTCAGTTAGTGAATAAAAGACTGGAGATCACTAATGGCTAATATTTTTGCAGAGAATTCTCAATTAACATCTACCTAGAAGCTAAGACACAGGTCTCCATTTACAATAAAATTTGGACTAAGGGATTTAATGGCCTTACGCTTTAAGAACTTTCAACTAAAGATTACAGAAAGCCCATCACCCATTTGAAGGGGTTTCTGTAGTGCTAAATATAAGATTCATAGGGTAGGAGGAACAAATTCAAAGCAACATTCATGATGCTATTGTAACTCACACTATATTCACAGATAAAGCAGAATTTGCATGCACTGAGTTTAGCAAAACTTACACGGAATTTATGTCTCATTGAAATTTTGTCTTAGTGGTTAATAAGTTGATAATGCTTTGACCACATAAATTATTTGATATGTTTAGATATCTTAACAGATCATCTTCCTGCATGTTCTATGCCATCCTTACCTTTTGAGATTACACTTTTTACACATGACTTTACAGTATTCTTGTATGAAGAGATACAGCCCAGCAATACCTTCTACAAGCAAAAATCAGAAATGCATGTCAGTGAAGCACATTAGAAATTTTGGCTTCTCACTTGTACTTAGATAAGTTAATAAACAGATATTACTCTGTTCCTCACATCCCTCCCAAAAAGCCATGGGCCTTTTAAAGTGAGGTGATGCAAACAGAAGTACCAATATTGTGGCAATGTAGATACACAAACAGAACGAGTGAACATTTAAAGCCAGTTTCTACCCCAAGATACTGGCTTCTGGTCCTGCATGAGGAATCCACGTAGTCTGTCAGACCCAGAAGCTGTAAAGGGAAGCTTACGCCATCCTTATTCCTGACACCCTGAAGAATCCTCAAAAGACACAGACTGGACAGAGAGAGAAGTGACAGCTATATTATTATGCATATTCTAGAAATTAAAGAACTGTATTTGATGGACTATTTGTGCTTATTCTTTCAGCTGCAATGATCCTCTAAATGGCAACATGTGTATCCATGACTGTGAGACACACTTGCAGTGAGCTTTGGATTTTTCCAAGCTGTCAATTTTTTTCCAACCTTCAAAGAAGATTTTAGGCCCCCAGGTGGTCTTAGGGTCTGAAACAAAGCTATACCTATCTCAGGTTTGTTCTTCTGTATTCTGTTTAGCCTGGAGAAGAGAAAGCCTAAAGGTAACTTATCAATGTATATAATAATGCACATAAATGTCTGATGGGGAGGAATAAAGAGGGAGCCCGGCTCTTCCCATGTCCCACTGACAGGCACAAACTGAAACACATGGAATACCACTTACAAGGAAGAAAACATATTTTTGCTACCAAGCACTGTTACAGATAGTCCAGAGAGGTTGTAGACTCTCCATCCTTGGAGATTTTCAAAACCAAACTATACACAGCCCTGAGTAACCTTTCTTGGCGGATCCTATTTGAACTGGCCAACTCCAGAGGCATTGATCCTGCCTCAGTGATTCTGTGACTATAGGCCAGGATCAATACCAAGGGAGCTTCTTTGTGACACTTAGCAGGTCTATGAGAGATCAGGAGAAAGGTTTGAGGTAAAGGGAATGATTGTCAGATGAAGTTCAAAATTCACAGAAAGTTCACAATAAATATAATTTATACTTGAAACCACGACAATGGGGTGATGGACCAATGTGAAGTCCCAAGGAGAAACACAAAATATAAGGAATCAAGGAATAAATATTCAAGAGTCTTTATGTGCCTCACTCACTGTGGATTTTAACATTCATATTTTAATTCAGACTTTAATCCTTTCCTAAAACAAATAAAGAACTCCTCCTCAAATAAACAAAAAACTCCTCCTCAATAAATAAAAGTTTGTCAGAGTGACAAACTTTTCTGCTGTAGTAAAATGATCCAATGACTGGAGCAAAGGCTCTGCTCACAAATGGACTAAAGAGAAAAAAAAAATTAAATTTGGAAGTGCTGATGGTTGTAATGAGTTAATAGATAATAAATTTAAAAATGGCATCCTAGATCTAAGATCATAAAATTTGTCTAGACAGACAAACTTATTTCTGTGCTGGGAGCAAGTGGTTATCTCCAAAATCATAAATATAGAAAAAAGTTCAAATACATTTCAAAGCTGGTCCTCTCCCAGATAACACGAATTTCATTTGTGGAAAATTTTCCTTTGTTGTACACTAGATGTCAGGGTTGGACTGAGAGGATAAGTCCATCCACTCCATTACACATCTCTATGCATCAGGCTGGATGCCATCAGCACAACTAAGTTCTAAACTTAGGAATTATTTCTGTGAAACATCCAATTTTTATTAAGAACAGTATGCAAAAAAATCCTCTCTCCCCCACTTTGCAGTATTTCATTTCAGCCAAAAACCCCAGGCTTTGGAAGAGGAAAGAGACATTCTGAGATATCTTTCCAATACCAAAGAGTATCTGGCAGCATTCTTCCCCTTCCCCAGCTCCAGGAAAAAAAAAATAACCCCTCTCTAAACCATTTGGGTGAACAGCAACTTTCTAGAGGGCATTCTAACTGACAGCAGTTCAATACAGTATGGACTTAGCCAGAGAAAAATGAGAGCGAGGAGGAACCTGATCAGAACTCCATTAAAGTTGAGGAACCATAGACACTCCACATGACACACCAAACTGAGTGGTGCAGTTGATGCTCCTGAAGTACTGGATGCCATCCAGAGAGACCTAGAGAAGCTTGAAAAGTGGGCTCATGTGAAACTCATGACATTCAACAAGACCAAGTGCAAGGTGCTACACCTGGGTCGAGGTAACTGCCGGTATAAGGGGTCTGGGGGATGAATAGATTGAGAGCAACCCTGGGGAAAAGGGCATGGGGGTGCTGGTGGATGAAAGGCTGGACACGAGCCAGTAATGTGCGACTGCAGCCCAGAAAGCCAACCATATCCTGGGCTGCATCCAAAGCAGGGGGGTCAGTGAGTCAGGGGAGGTGATTCTGCCCCAGTACTCTGCTCTTGTGTGACCTCACCTGGAGTGCTGCTTCCAGTTCTGGGGTCCTCAGCACAGGAAAGACATGGACCTGTTTGAGCAGGTCCAGAGGAGGGCCACAAAGATGCTCAGGGGCTGGAGCACCACTCCTATGAAGACAGGCTGAGAGTTGAGGTTGTTCATCCTGGAATAGAGAAGGCTCCAGGAGGATCTTATAGCACATTCCAGTGTCTCAAGTAGGCCTACAAGAAAGCTGGAGATGGACTTTTTGCAAAGGCACTGACAGGGTAAGGGTCAATTGCTTTGTCCTAGTTAGAGCAGCCAGGACCAGTTCATCACTGTGTGGGTGTAACCCAAACTGTGTATTCTACACCCTCTATGTAATTTCTCAGGAACTGTTAACAATAGACCATTTCCATCCCTCCAAGTGTTCAAGGTCAGGCTGGATGGGGCACTGGCCATGTGGAAGCTGTCCCTGCTCATGCCAGAGGCGTTGTAAGGAGATGATATTTAAGGTCCCTTCCAACCCAAATCATTCTATGGTTCAATGATGATACCCCAGGCAGGTAATTTCATTACCCTGTACTTTGACTATATATATTCAAGATGACAACTTACCTCTGCTTCATGGTAAAGGAGAGAATGTGGACCAGGAGAGCAAAGGCAGAAATCAATCCCTTTGTGAGATGCTGGTGACAGAAAAGTAATAACTGAAATAAACTATAGATAATAATGAAAGGCAAAAACCCAAAAGATCCCTCTTTCAACTTCTACATAAACCTAGTGCTGTCCACTTGTCCAGAGAACAGTCATGTTCTCTGTTAGGTAAAGTGCCCTAAAGGAAAGGAAATGACACAGAAGTAATTTTGCACATATTTGTATATATATATATGGATGCAATATATGCAGTATACAGCCTATTTGTGTAAAATATTTAGAGTATTCTACAAGCAAAACACAGTTCTCAGAAAATTCCTGGAGATAAATACATTTCATAAGCAGGAGGTTTTAAAGTGCATTCCTTTTCACATTTGGTTTAGGCAGTGACCCAGCCCCATTGCCACAGTCACCAGTTCTGGTGGTGGTGAAGATCAGTATCACAAACATGAAGCACGGGGTACAACAGATGAAAATAACTGAAACATGGTTACATTAGAGTACTCAGGTAGTGAAGATGTCTAGCAAAACACTGAAAAGGTGTGAGACCTTGAGGCAAGTGTGCCTGGAATTGCAGTGAGGGGCATCTATAACAGTGGAAACACACTTTGACTTTTTTCATTCAACAACCAGCCACGGTTTCAATGTGACTGTCACACAGCAATGGTGCAGTTTTGGTGTTAGACATGCTTACAAACTTGTAGTGTATAACAATGTAAATTCACAGTGAGCAAATTTTTACAAATATAAGTAATAGAATTGGTAGGTAGTGGGGATACTCATAATAGGAATATTTATGACAGAGTGTTCAGCCAAGTTTTTGTACAAGAAATGTTGCTTCACAAACCTCAACACTCCTTGAAAGAGCCAATGATGGTTTGCTATTCTCCATTTTAAAAAGGGCTTGACCCAAAGACTGTCAAAGCTACTGAGCTATCATGGATAGAAAAAAGTTTGCAACATATGATCTTAAGATGGGTAAACAACTAGTTAACAACGGGGGGAAAATAAAAATGCAGAAATAAATTAAAAATTGTTAGGAAATTATCAGGATTCATAGTAAAGGAGGATTGTTGTTTCTGCTATTCAATGTGCTTATCCAGAAGATGTGATTTGGAAAAGGTGTTGGTGGAAGAAGAAAGCAAGAGAGGAACAGAAATTAATGCAAAGTGGAGATGAAATAGAAAAATAAGAAGCAGCAGCTTACTTGAGTGTAAATGACAAAACCACCAATTCGATGTTGTAAGTGCAGAATGAGGCATATAGAGAGAGGAAACCCCAACTCTGTACGTGTTTCAGCTATAAATTAATTAGTATTTATTATAGGTAATTCTAGAGAAACTACTGCTCAGTCCTCAAGGAGGTTCAAAAATGAAAGTACAACTTAAACACCTATTCAGAAAGGCTTGGAAGATGAAACAGAAAGTGTCATTACACTATTTTATAGATTTCTGGTGTACCTGACACTTGAGCAGCGTGCAGTGCTCATTCTCTCCTCGGGTTACAACAAAGAAAGATATAGTGAAGAGCAGCGAGGAAGATATAAAGTAGAACAGGTTTGCCTCTGAGGAGAGTAAAAACAGGACTGGAAATGGTCAACTGAGGCAGTAAGTAAACCACCAGGGGCTTCCAGGAAGAGGGCAGAGAGCTATTTGCCACTATTTCTCAAAGTGCAAAATCTGAGGGCAAGATAAACTTTTTCAGAAGGGCCACATTCAATTGTGCAACTCAGACCCATGGGACATAATGCATCAAAAGAACACATGAGATCAAACTCGACTAAATTAATGCCATAGAAAACAATCACTATTATTTAAAATTCAAAAGAGTTTGAGCAATTTTAATGCTGTGCTATGTGTTCTTTTTCCAATGAGCGAAGCGAGAGGACTCTTTATACCCCAGCCTTCCACCTGCATCCTCCTGATAGGTCACATTATGACAGGAGGACTGTACTTCCCAGTACTGCTAGACAACAAAAAACTTTCCCTTGCTGTCTGAAATAGGAGTTATTGTTTTACCTGTGGTAGGCAGAAAATTGCATTGAGAACACCATAAGGAGCCCAACAATCTAGGAAAGTATTGGCTTAATTTGACAGGATGCAAGTCATAGACAGTGACTTCTTTTAAAGTAACAGTCCAGTATTTTAGTACTAAGTGGGCATATGCTGCAATAATAAGGCTACTGAGAACATTTCTAACAAAATGTCCATTACAGTGTTTAGTTAAATCATACACTTGCTTTTATTCAAAACTGCAGCTGCTGTACAATGTAGTATGGCCTGTGCAATGGTTGCACAATATCCTCCATCGGCCTGGGAGGAGCATCATTCCAAAAGATGCCTCTTTAACTCTTCTGCTATTTCCTGTTCCAGCTCTGGGAAATATGTTGAATCTTCTTCATCCTTTCCCTCTCATCAAGCACTTTACATCTCACTTGATGTTCCTCCGATTTCTTGTCGAAGGCAGGGAAATAGTCTCCTGAGCTGGGAGTGGGCCTCCTGAGGTGATGCAGCTGAGGTTTGATGGCTGATGGTGACAAAGGAAAAACAACGATGGTTACCATGCCTAGCTTTCACTCACTAGTAGACAAGAAATCAATTCCTCAGAAGCTGTGTCCATCCTATTCAGCACAGCCTGTGTATGCAAGGGAGGGTTTCTCAGCCTAAAAGTTGGGATTGTTTTGGGTTAGAAAAAAAATACAAATCATAAGTATAGATGTAAAACTCTAAAATGAAACACAGGCATTTTCAAAACTGAAATTTGGGCAATTAAGCAGTTTGGAATAATGGATCTTGAAATCATCCCAGCAGACTACATCAATACAACTGAATCCCAAGGAACATTCTCAAGGTTAGGAAACAACAATTTAGACAGTAGTTAAAGTATCATAAGTAAATGAAGAAGCAACTTTATACTTACCTATCTAAATATGTATAGCTTAACACCTCACTGTACCCAAAATATCTGGGTGACTTCAAAACAATTAATCTGGATAGAGATTATGTTTCCCAGAATTCAGGAACAGGTGGATCTGATGTATTTTGTCTGATTTTCCAGCAAACTACAGGCCATTGTTAAAGTCAGAAGCGGAAAACATATGAATCTGACCATTCTCAACTTCTTGACTCTGTTATTTGAATGTATGTCTTGCTTTCTTACCTCTTTATATAGGTGGACTAAAAAATTAAACATGACCATGATCATCTTATACTTAGTTATTATTTGCAAAATATCCAATTCAATAATTAGTATGATAAGCATTTTAAAAGAAAAGTCATCTCTCTCAGCATGAATCCTAAGTGAGAAAGATTCCCCTGTGTGAGCTAGCTAACATCAAATGCTAGAACAGTCACACTCCAATCTTGTTAAGATCCTTGAATGATTAATCATGCTTCAAAATATCTTGGGAAATAAAAAACTACAGATTTCATAAACTTTAGAAAGACACACCTGGATTTCTTCATTGTCACAATCCTTCCTGTTTTCAACCAGATTAAATTCACATTCATTAAAAGGTTGAAAAATATCCAGATGAATTACTGTTCTTTGAGGCACATACACTTTCCATATTTATTCCATTTTCTGTACTCAGCATGGATTCAGCCAAACTGTTATTAAATTTTCCCTTGCTCAGAGTGGGAAAATGTTTACTGATACCTGGAATTTTATTTGAGTTGTTACCAGAAGAAATAACTTTGCTAATAGTCTTAAGAGGTTTGTCCGGAACAGTATCAGTAGTACTTATCATCTTTATACAGGAGTAGATAAAGGGGATTCATGACATTTAATTTCTTAAAACTTTAGTGACTCAAAGTGATGGGCAGAAGACTTTCTCTTAGGACTCTAGAGTTCCATTCCCAGATTGCTCACTGACTTCTTGTGTGACCTGGACTACAACATTCACTCCAGTTTCTCTGCATGTAAAATGGGAATAAAAATGACAATGCTTACCTCACAGGGTTTTTATATGGGTGAGTAACATCATTCTCTACTTAATAATTATTTTGCTAGCTTTAATACCATTGCTTCAAGATTGCTTAAATAAGGGGGGGGGGGGACTTGGGGAATTTTCTTTTCACTGGCTAGCTTAACCCAGTTTTATTAGTGTTGTTATGGGTAAAGAGTTATTTTTTCCCTTACATCTGTGTGTATTTGGTCTCTCTCTATATTGCAGAGAACCAGAGGCATTGAATCTGAGGAAGTGGACTCCCATCCCAGGTCTTCACCCCTCCAAATTGTCTCAAACTGAGACACTGTGAAAGAGCACGACACCCATGAACAGCTTGGAGAACTGAAACAGCACAGAAACATGCTACTGTGCCTTGGCATCTATATATGGAGCTGCACTGTACCTCATCTGCTGGCACAACAGCTACTGATGAAAATATCTTTAGTAAAACTTGTAAGTGCTTTGCCTGAAGTCTGGGCTTTTTTATTGGTTATTTCTTGTTGACTTCCAGCAAATTTACGCTCTCTTTCACCTACTGTGAATTATACACACATTCACACTAAGCCATTATTTTGTGTAACTGCTTCATACTACCCTCCCTTTCTTCTGATATTTGTGTGGGACAAAAATTGAATAAGAAAATTGTTATTTTCTTAATATGGTGGTGAAATAGAGATAGCAGGATTTGGTAGATGGGAGAAACACAAAAAGACCTATATTTGGGTCCACAAAACAGCCTTATTTTATCCCTTCAATATCTCTGTCTATAGGATAAAAACTCATATTAATTTGCCAGATGAAGTAAAACAATTTGTGAAGCCTGTTCTGCAAGACAAAAAAACCAAAAAATCAGGTATTTAAGAAAGTGGAATGTAGTAAAGATTACTAAAAACAACAATTCATTTGTTCAAACCCAGTGAATGGGTTTAACTTCTTAAATGTGTAAAAGTCATACCATACATGAAGAAGTCCTCTGTTTATATCCATCTCCCAAATAGTAGGCACTGCGAGTGCCAATTTCTAAAGCTGCATTGTATAATGAAATTAGAGTGAGGCAGTACTGACTGACCTGGCAATGTAAGGTGGTTTGCCGAGGAACTCAAGCCTGATGAGTCAGCTGAACATTGCACTGGACCTTTAAAAAGAAAGAGTAGTTTCAGCAGAGATGGATAAATGGTATTCCCACTAACAAAGAAAATGCTTTTTGTAGTGCTGCCTCTACTACTAAATGTTTGTTGTCTTTTTTCTGCCATTTCTTACTCATGTTTCTAGGTGAGATTAACTGGGAAAGTAGTCTCACTTCTGGGGCCCTTTCAATCTAAAGGAATCAATTTCAAATATTCGTATCACCAGGTTTGGGCAGAGAGACCCAATTTATTGATCCCGGAAGTTTCATGTTCTTAAGTTTTGGATCTATGAACTGTTGACAGATCTCAGACTGCTTTCCCTTCAGCTCTGTGTCCTCACAGAACCGGCGATTGACAGTTTTACTGTCAATTGTCCTGCATGGCTCTGAAGGCACACAGCATTTACATTGCTCCTGTGGAGGTTCAGCAAGTGGCTGACATCACCTTTGGGGATGGCTCTGGATATTTATGTCATGGCCAGAGAAAGAACTCTGATATTGAATTTGCAAATGGAGGTTAATCACCCAAATCAGCAGATGCCTTCTCCAAATCATCTTTTCTCCCCCCTTTCTTATGTAACAGCATTTTTTATCACAGTCAACTACGCAAACACCCTCAACATCTAACAGAAACTGGCAGCTTAGCTTCATCTCTACTTGCACTAGACAAGGAGGTACCAAGCCAGTAAGGTATGAGAATACAAGCAGCTACAGTGGCAAGTACACTGGATGTTCTTAAGGGAATCAACACCAGTATACCTCCCTGAGAGGAAAGGAGTGAATTAGAAGTAGAATTTTGGGCCAAAGGAATGCACAAAGCCTTTCATGCCTGTAATGAACATCTCTGAGAGAATGGCTTGGTTTCTGACATCCTTTATCATGACTTTTATCACATTTGGGGTTTTCTTAAAGGAAAAGGTCAAACAGATAAACAGCAGTGCTACACAAAAATTCTCATTATTACTTATGTGTTGTGATGACTCCTGCACAGACACCACCCACATCTACAAGGGGATTAAGTTACTTTCTAGAAGGTGCTATGTAGAGATGTAACGTAATGGTGCAAAAGGAGATCTATCAGTAAAACTGCAGCACAGGACACCAGCTCTGTGAGACTGACAGTCATGTTTCAAGTGGCACATTTAAAAAGAACCAAATGAGCAAGTATTTCAGTGGGCATGAATGTGGTGTGCTGTTCTTTATTTAGGTACTCTTACGGCCTGTGATTTGAGTCAAAAGAGAAAAGTGGAAAGGTGAGATTTACCTTGGGGTCCTTAAATAAGCCAGTTGAATTCTCTATCTCAATTCCCCTATCTTTAGAAATCAGGTAATGACTCTAATCCCTCCTCAAGTTAAGTGAGAGCAAGTGCTAAGAAATAACTGCTGTCTAAACAATGTTTATCATAGCGTTTCCAGAAGTTTAGGCACTATGTCACCACGAGTCAAAGGTCAGCTAGTTCCCTGAACACCAGTCCCAGATAAAAGACAAAACACTGATAGGGATACTTGCAATAGCATCCTTCTCTATTTCAAGAAGGTAAAGTGCCTGATCCTCCCTCCTAAATTATACAGCAGTTTTTGGGAAGCAGAAGACATGGTGCCCTTCCAGCAAGGCAGAGCTTGCTGAGAGCACTAGCAGTCTCTGTGCAGAGCTAGAGGAGTGCCATTTTTATCACACAGCTTCCTAGCCTGTGCCACCCTCTGTAAAAGGCAATCTGGCACCAGAAGACACCTTTGTGCCTATAGGTGGGTGCTGCCAAATAATTCTGTAAAATTTCAGCATGAGGCAAATGGTATGGACCCTATATTTGCAGACTTTCTGCCTTTCTAATTGGTTGCATAGTCTTACTGAGGCTGGAAAAGTAAGGTATCTGAAAACATTTCTATATATCCAGGGAAAGCTAGGTAAAGATGTAAAACCAGAAATCCTTTCTCACTTTTTATAAACATAGGCCATTAGCTGATGAACACCTAATTCATTTCCATTTTTTTTGATTGTTTCCTTCTATGGAATAAAATAAGAGAAAGCAGTTATGTAATTTTTTAAATTATTTTTTATTTTTTTTTACACATTTGCACAGTGGCTGATCTCAAGTTTAACTGGGAGGTGTCTAAACATACCATTCTTTGGCTCATGATGCACTAGCACAGTGCTGCAGAGTAATTCAGGGAGGTGGTGGGGGCAAAGTAAGGAAATGTAGATGTGATCCTGGGAGGCAACCCCATAATATATACTGTCACCTGGCCTAGTCTCTTTGTAGGGTTCCAATTTCTAGATTTCACTTTATATATTCTCCCATCTAATAGATTTCACACAATCTTTTTTTTTTTACATGACAACAAAACATTCTTAGAATGCCAGTAATCCACTGTACATTACACAGATGAGTTAAAACCAGGAGCATGTTAGCTGACTGTCAGTGTATTACAAAACATTTTGCTGTATACCTGTGTGCTTAGACCAATAACTTTGCCTATAGCACCTCTTCTAGAATGGCAACTCTGATCTGCAGTCCCCAAGAGACACCACATCCAGCACTTCCCTTATCAACTCCTGCCAATAGTGAATAACCCCTGATTTCACACCCTCATGCTAATGCATGAGAAACAAGAACTGACCAGACACGAGTTAAGCTGTTTGGTTTTGCTGTCTGAAAGAAGTCACTCAGGGAAAGAAAGAAAATACATACATCAGAAACAGATGAAGAAAAAGATTTAGTGTTTTTTACAACTGTTATTATTCTACTGTGCATAATCTAAGGCATCTTTAGTCACTATAAAAGGTAAGCATAACTTTAAAAATATTGACTAAATCATTCTGCACCTCTGACCAAACACTCGGTTAGGGTATGTTCCCCCTGATGGCAGGAAGAAATCTTACTAAGCAGAGACTGAGTCACCACTACAGAAGTATTTACTTCTGCATTATTGATATTTCATCAGTGTGCCTTCAAAGACCCTGGTCAGAGCTAGAAGTCATATTCTACCACTTTTACTGGGGCTGAATGCTGATGGAAGAGGGGAAAGAGGAAGCAGGAAAGCGCTAAGTGGTGACACAGCCCTCTGCCTGTCACACAACATGTAATGTGCTCAGTGCTGATGGTGGAGCTACTGTCTTCACAGCACTCCACTTTCCTCAAAAATTTACCCCAGAGCTTCTACTGAACCATGAACTCATGAACAGGAACACTATATCTCCGTATATTTTTTTAAATGAGCTGGTTCAGTGAAGACAACTGCAAGTTCTAAGAATTTAAAGAATTACTTTGTACTTCTTCTTTCTGAACATGTAATTGAAGTGCAACCTTTCCACAGTGTGAACCTAATTAAATCACTGGCTTTGAACAAATTCAAACTCTTGCGTACAAAGAAAGAACTCAAAATGTCTCTAGCCTCAATAATGAAAATCCCAGCTACAAACACTCTTAAGTGAGAAGGTATTCATATTTAAAATGTGGATTTAGGTTGAGTTCACTGATGTAATTTTTACTAGTGTCACAAGAAGCTCACCCCTGTACATGCACAGTTTAAGCAGGAATGGAGCCCCAGACTCTGGGTTTAAAGTTCTGTGCTTTTGGACATGAAAAGGAAACAAAGATTTACCTTCCTAAGCCAATGTTCTCCATGTTCTTTACACAGAAAAGAACCACGACAGTAGTCCAATTCCTTGTAAAATACATATGTGACTAACACAGCAAGAAGTCATTCTGAACAGAAAGGTGTTCAGCAAAAACAGTTGTATGTACATGTACAAATGTTGGTTTCTGAACAGACAGGCAAAACTGCATACAATCAACTGGATCCCTATCAAGAGCCCAAGCCACAAAAACCCTTACATATATGTTTGATGTTTCTCATACATTCCTCTTTTGGTTTTGTCTGTCCATACTTATCCAACAACACTTTTCCTTTTCTTTGGCCTGACCATTCAGTCAGTGATGAAAGACCACACTGAGGTGAAAGTAAGAGTCGATCCACGTGATGCCCTGTTGTCCCTCTTCTCCTAGATCTTCAGGTCAGACAAACAACTATTACTAGTGGCCCACGAAAAAATGTGGGTAACAGCTAATTACATGCAATCTCAAGTTAAGCAGGTACATCAAGCCATATATTAATACCTGCTCTGAGAATCTGACAACAGAATTTACCCCAAGGGAATATTGCTTTCATGGGTTATTTCTGTCCTAACTTCAAAAAGAGAACAAAACCAAGGGTTGAGGGGTGTCTGCCTGCTGTTTAGAAACAAAAAGATGTTGCTATCATTTTGTTATCTGGGAAAATATCAAACCCTAAAAAATAATCAAATTACTCTACAAGTTCACCATTCTTCTTAAAAAAAATCTTCTACAGCAAGGTTAAAACTGATATCAAATTCTGTCTGCTAGCAATTGGAAAAGACTCTCAGGGAAAAGGAAAAGACTAACAGTAAAATATTATCAAGTTTTCTTTTTTTAAAATTTCTTTTATATTCTTTTGCATCATCCTAGTGTTGGTTTCACAAGCTGAGTCATAGCAAAGGGCAATACCAGTTTTTGAAGATGAACCTCTTCTATTTGCTTGACCTGTCCAGAAAAATGGAACCATTTGCATAAGGAAATCTGACCTTGATTTTTTTAACAAAAAAACTTCCCCAAAACAACAACAAGAAAGAAGGAAAGAAGGAAAGAAGGAAAGAAGGAAAGAAGGAAAGAAGGAAAGAAGGAAAGAAGGAAAGAAGGAAAGAAGGAAAGAAGGAAAGAAGGAAAGAAGGAAAGAAGGAAAGAAGGAAAGAAGGAAAGAAGGAAAGAAGGAAAGAAGGAAAGAAGGAAAGAAGGAAAGAAGGAAAGAAGGAAAGAAGGAAAGAAGGAAAGAAGGAAAGAAGGAAAGAAGGAAAG